GTCAACTCTGGCCCTGGTCATGTGCCGGCTCACCTACATACATAATATAAACTGTGGACATAAGTTTGGAACATTGATTTGCAAAAAAAAGAGACCGGCGGCAGAGTAGGTCGGTGGGTGGCCGTCTGCAGAAAAGAAAACAAAGCTGTTGTTGTTGTGATGTGTTGTGTATTTTTTTATTTTTTATTTTTTATTTTTTTTTTGTGTAAAATGTGAATCGGGGTTGATCCCGATATGAATAAAAGATGGTTTGGTGTGCAAAGCGATATGGTATGAATGAAATTTAAAAAAGAGTAAAAAATAATGTAAAAGAAAAATAAAGAAAGAAATAATAAGAATAACTTGGAAATCAAAATGAAAGATAGGGGAAATATTCACGTGGGTGCTTGGCCCATTTTTTTTTTGTTTTTTTTTTTGATTAAAATAATAATAATAATAAGAATAACAAGAATATATGAAGGAAAACATGGGTGTGCAAATCGTGTGTTGCGTTGTCTTTTTAAAAAAAGGGATTAAAATAAAAAAAAAGAAAAGAAAAGGAAGTTTAGTGGGGAACATCAGTGTGTGAAAAGAAGTATTATCATCATTTTAGGCATATGCGGACCATTAGCCATCATCATGGGTTGTGTAAAACCCCATTAATTTTGAAGATCCAGACTTGTGTTCTGAAAGTGCACATTCCCTGTGACGAGGAAGTTTAGGCTCAAGGTCTGAACAGCCTTGCTGCCAATGTCCCAAAAGCAGTGGTTCTTTGCCAAGTGGAGAAAGCCAAGGAAGACATGCTTAATAAGTTGTACAGTTCAGTCAGCTCTCAAAGTATGGCAAGGATGGAAGAGTTGCGGATGGAGGACCAAAATGTAAAGCGCAAGAGGGAGCGTTGTCAGAAACAATCTTCTCTTCTTTCAAAGCTCACCAGGCAACTTAGTATTCATGACAATCGGGCAGTTCCTTCGCATCGAGTCGGCGACGGGAAGGCGGAGAGAGAAGACGAAGATCAGGGAACTCAAGGTTGACGCTGACGAAGATCCGACCGTCGGATCCTAAGCCGACGGCGCCGACGTGGTAGGCGAATCTGGGCACAGGGGCGCTGAGGGGATTGAACCGCCGGTACCGTTCCAGTACGGTAAGGCCAAGGTAGATATGGTGGTGCACAGCCACGATGCAGCGTTTGAGATCAAGAAAGGTGAAATGATCTTTGGTTATCAATTTACTGTGCAATTCGCAGTTGGTTTCTTGATTACCAGCAGAACATTGGGAAGTGAAGAGATTCTCTAACTCGGAGAAAACAAGAAGCTATGATCTTCAGTAGTGATGGTTTGAGAAGTTCAGTCTTTTTCTGCTGGTATGATTGTTGTTTGCCTTGTTTGTTACTTTGGTTGCACAATAATAACATTGACGGGCAGAAATGGACTGAACTGTTCATGCCATGCCCTTCCTCTCCGGCTGGAATCTGAGGCTGCCGCCCGCCGGTGAAGCAAAAATACTAGGTTCTTAACCTGGCTCTGATACCATGTTAAAATTCAAATATTATTGATTGATATCTTTATGATTGATGTATTACAAGATTGATTAATTACAATTCCTATACAATCTATGTTAAAATTTATTACCTACTTCACCCACTTGAACCTACTCCACTAAACCTAACCCACTACACCACTACCACCTCACCTATGTGTAGTGGAGTAGGTGAAGGTAAAGATGGGAAATTCTAACAATACGTATTGATTTCTTTGTTTATGTGGATAAATATGTTTTGATTTCTTTGTCTTGTTTTTCACCTTTTCTTACAAACAGATGTATGCCCTTGGGAATGACTGCTTGTTCCACTTTGTTTTTCTAAACAAAATCTCCACTTCTTAGAAAAAGACATTTTACAAGTTATCTGATTGATGTTTAAATAATATGATGAGTGATATTGTTTTATGTACTCTGCTTTTTTATGTAGTTTTAGGAATTGGCTTTACAATGGAAATAAGTTGACAGTGGTTGAGTCAGACTTGATATTTTGGTTGTTGTGGGGTGGACCTAATGTCATGACTTTTCACCAATTTGGTTATATGTTTCAGAATTTTGCATGCTGTCTGTGTTCAACTGCTAGTTAAGTATCTCCCCTTTAAAACAGTACTTTTGCTCCTTCAACCCTGGTCTTTCCTAGGTGGCTTGCAGGTTAATGGCATGCAATGATAATGCACTCGAATTAAACTTGAACTTATGTATCCTGTTTTTGAAGTGTACATTTTAGGTGGTGCTTCCATGGTTGAGTACTAAGAAATGGACACGTGACATGACACAAACACCACCCGGATAATGCCAACATGGAAAATTTAATAGAAAAATACAAGACACAAGTGGAGGACACCCAAAATATATGGTTTTATATATTTATTATATGGCATATACAATGTAAAGCATGTTACCCAAATCAACCTAAGAAGCACCAACCTAAGAAGCACCAAGTCTTTAAATCAAATGTAAAGTTTTAAACATTGGAAAATTTATGCAGAGAACTAATTAATTTCTTCTGTGTACCAAGTTCACCTCTTGCACTGCAAAATGTACTATCTACTATAAAATAAACAAAACTCTAGTTGTATTCATTTCGACTCTGGAGAGATGTTAACTAAAATCAGTACTCATTAGCTAGTGCATGGCATATGGAGATATTTATACTTCTTTTCACATATGGGAATATATAATTCAGACTCATGTGACAAGCCAAGGCCCCAAAAGGGTCACTAACAAGATACCTCATATAGAAGCCCATTTATTACGCAATTTGGACAAAAATGGTGATGCTTGGATCTTGGGTAGAGCCGGGTGATATTTTAGTAGGTACGTTAACGCCCCAGATAGTGAAAGAATTGTCGAATGCTTCGGAAGATAGATCATTATGAGCCATAGTTTGTATTCAAGTATCTAATTCGAAGGAAACTTACTTAAAACTACCTTAATGTGGTAGGGGTCAAGTTATTGAAGGTTGGGTTGTAGTTATAATCCAGAAATGATTTTTGTATATATTTTACAAAAATGTGAAATCAAAGTAAGTGATGAAGTAGCTAGAAGACATGGAAATAAAGATATCATTTCAAAAGTTTTGCCTAGACAAGATATATAAAGGTAATGAAAAATTATATTCTTACATAAAATTCATACATAACTTGACAAGAATGATGTTGTAGTGTCATTATTGTAAATAAATCTATCTTCAATGGTGTTTTGTTTTGAAGTGAAAGGTCTACAATGAGCCACATCATTATGTATGAATTTTTTTGTTTGTATAGAGCACTACTCAAAGGTAATTAGTATAACATAAATGTTAGTGATGTGAATCTTAAAAAAACTTTTACAATAACATGGGACAAACCCATATATATATATACTATATTTTGGCTTCCTCTTAAAAGTTAAAGGATGGAGGAATTCTTTTGTAGACCTTTCAATTTGGGACTGAGGAGCAGAGATATATGTTAATGGAGATGAATTATTACTTTTGTAATGAAAATTTATTATGCTTATGGTTAGCAATTTAAGTGGTAGTGTATTGTATTGTAGGCATTTAATATATATATATATATATTTACAACTGAGCATTTTCTTTTTCACAGTATGTTTATTTTTGAAATACATAAATTTCTCTTCTAATCCCTCCCAACCTTAGAGTTTTTCATGTATCCTTGCTCCCCCACCCTTGCTTTGTGCAACTAAGATCTTGCCTTAAGCTCTTGGCTTTATTGTGTTGACTTTCCACATTCTCCTTGTGTTTTAACGTAGCAAAAAACTAAAAAGTATGACTATTAAAATCTTGTTTCTTTGATTCCAGGAGAAGGATATTAGTTTAAGTGGTGAACATGTAAGGGAGGGCTTGACATGTGTAATTTCTGTCAAAGTACCAAATCCAGAATTTGAAGGACAAACAAAGGTATTCTCAATTTCATCATCGCATTCACGATCACTGATGCTTTGGGTCATGAATAATGATTTTAGCAACTTGAAGTTTGAGATCATCAATCACCATTTTCTTTCACTGCAAATGTTTATATTACTGCTTGTTTCATCTTTTACCTTGAAAGACAAGGTTGGGGAATCCAGAGGTGCGGAAAGTGGTTGATCAATCTGTTCAGGAGTATCTCACTGAGTACTTAGAGTTGCATCCAGATGTACTTGATTCAATCCTTTCCAAGTCCCTTAATGCTCTAAAGGTACCATAATCATAGCTCATGACATTTTTGTGGTTCAGATATATGCATTTCTCTTGTGAGTCATGCCTGTTAATCTCTATTTAGGCAGCTCTGGCGGCAAAGAGGGCAAGAGAATTGGTGAGACAAAAGAGTGTTTTAAAATCATCTTCTATTCCTGGAAAGCTTGCAGATTGCTCAGCCACTAATCCTGAAGAATCTGGTATGTTATGTGTGTTCTTTTATCAGATCATTGTTATAATTAGAGGTTGACTACTGCAATGATGCATTAAAAATGATTTTTTATTTTTTATTGTTGATAAGTGTATTTAGGGTACTTAAACAATTATAAAGTTAGTAGATGAGGATTTTTTTCTCAATCATAGTAGCATTTTAATAATTCAGTTAGTATCATTTATGTAAACTCATTATTTGATGTGAAGTTGAGGTACAAGAAGAAAGCAAGAAAAAAGAGGCTGTATGGGAAGAGCTGCTGATAATATTAAGCTTAATATTATACCATAACTTTAGTACTTTTTTTTTTTTTTTTGCAAAAATTGTTATTTTACAAGTAAGTTGTGCAAACATGCTGTGTCTCCATGTATGTGCCTATTATATATTGTACAATGGTAGATGAGGAAACAACTTTGGTGGCTTTTATACTTGTTTTTATTAATTACGGTGACGTCACTCACTTTGATGATATTCTGACTCTTTACTCCATCCTAATGTCCTCTTGCCTGATCCTATTCAATTAATCTGTAAGCAACAATGTATTCAATGACAGGTAAATCTGTCATTTGCTGTCATTAAGTATTAATTATAAAAGCAGAGGAAACTGAGGCATGCAGATTTACTCTCTCCCAATGGTTTCTGATTCTTTCTATCTTTGGGACTTGACATTCAGTTATGAATAGAAAATATCATTAATAGTTTTGGAAAAATTTAAGAAAATACTTTTAAATAGCAATGCAACATATTCTTAGAGACTTTGAAAATGTGAGTTTGTGCTTTATAATTATTTTTGAATAACTTGGGAAATTTGGAAACAATTATTGCAATTATTCCATAAATATTTGGGATATTCAAAAAATTGAATGTAGTTCCAATATGTAATATTGATTATTTGTTCATTTGGTGAAAATATTTGGAGTATGGAGAATTTCATTACTATGTGCACGAGTGGACTCTAATAGCTTAAGATTTTGGATTTGGTGGATTGTCAAGAAATTTATTACTACGTGCACTTGAGTGGCCCCTGATAGCTTAATTTTTTGAATTAATAGATTGTCTATTTTTGACTGATGTTTTCAAAGGCGTTATTGAGGCTCGCCTTGAGGCGACACTAAGGCACGGTATTGAGCCTTTTATATTTAGGCAATACTCTCCAAAGGTTTGCATATCACAGTTTGAGGTGTGCACATCAAGTCTACTAATGTAGGACGAGTAGGGATTACTTTCCTACAAGTAGTGAGCACAGTTTAAGTATAATGGTAGCAGCAACAATAGACTTATAGGGCTGGATTTGGTGGGATTTTGTGACTGCAGAAATATTTAAAAGAATAAGAGTTTAAGGGTTTGTAAAAGGGTAGGATTTTGGGAATGAAAACACAAATGCTTAGAGACAGTTGGTTGGTTGTTCTAAGCACTGTGAACAGTGACGTGAACAGTAACCTTGTTGGATAGAAGAAGAGGAAGAAGAGGAAGAAGAGAGGAAGAAAGAAAAGTGCTTCACTCTCACAAGAGATAGGCCAATCACACAAACACAATCTCAAATTTTAATAATATTAACCCTGCTCTTGAATCATTGAGATTACACATGTATTTATAGGCTAAAGACTTTCCTAATTCTATAAAGACTATTTCTTAAATTTAGAAACAAAAAATATTTAGCAACTACTAATATTCTAGACCAACTATGACTTCCAATTCTATTTCAATTATAATAGGAAACTTTAATGATTTCTAATTCTACTTCATATCAAAATAGGAAACTTGGACTTTAACCACTAAGATTATTTTAGACATAATAAAACCCATATATAATAACCCATTTAATAACTTGACCCAAAATAAAACCCATGGGCAACCCTATAACCCATGTCCAGCAAAACTGAAGTTACCATAATACCCTTAACTACTAAACACTACCATGGATACTTCTTTTTGGATCAAAAAGGCTTCTTGACGAACATAGGACCCTTAGATTTTGTGTTGGGTTTTCACAACGTATCGTACTTGTTTAACCATGTAACAGATGTTGCATCATCTACCTTGTATGCCTTTATATGTAATTGAAATATGAGGAGTACGCATATTTTGTTAAACTACTGAAATATGAGGAGTACATATATTTTGTTAAACTTAGTCTAATACAATACATATAACATAAAAAGGAAGAACCTATTTTGTAACTATATTCTGTTGGAAAAATCATTTAAATAACCAACTAAGAAAAAACACAAAGCTAAGGTTCAAGTGAGAAACTCGACAACTGAAACTAAGAATGTCAATTTCACCTTCAATGAGAGTAAGCTTCCTTCTTTGTTGTAAAATGTTAAACACCTTGAGGAAAAAAATATTTATACCTTCATATTTAATTTTTAATATTTGTTAATTTGTTAATTTTTATTTATTTATTTACTATATATAAAAATTCAAATTTTGAAATGCTTGTGCCTCAACGCCTTGAGTCTATGTCTCGCCTCATGAGGGATAAATATGTCTTGCATTATGCATTCACCTTTAAAAAATTTGTTTTGATATTGGTGGTTCTTTTATTTTTATATTTTTATTTATGGTTATTATTATTGTTTTTGTTATGATTACTATTATTTTTTTGACGATTGGGTAGGAGATTGGTTTGTAGTTATCATACTTTGATACTTTGTGGTGGCAAAAGAACACAGGAATCTGTTACGAAGGAGTTAGTAGTGGCTCTAATTTAAGATAAGGGAAAACCATTTGAGATGGTATTGTCATGTGAATCATAGACCAACTAACATTCCAATGAGGAGGAGCAATTTGATCCATGTGGGGGTTGGTAAAAGAAATAGGGGACGACCTAGGAGGACTTGGGTTGCGGTGATAAGAAAATACATGACTATCTTAAACTTAATCAAAGATATGACTACTATTAGAACCAATTGGAGAAACCAATCCATGTAGCCAAGTAATTGGGACAAAGACTTGTAAAGTTGAGTTGTACTTTTGTGGCGTCTAGCTTCTTAGAACTTGCTAAAGGAAATCTAGTTGTTTAGAAAAAAGCAAAGTTTGTGTTCAAAGCCAAACACACTTTTGCTCAGATAACATTTGAGATGATATGGATTAAGTTCCTTTCACGATGATTGAGATCCAAAACTAGAAAAGTTACGACGATGTTTTGTGACAATCAAACTGCTATATTTGTGAGAATATTGTGTGAATATTTTAGATTGTGTTTGATTGTGTGAATATTTCGTTCATAGGATTATTCTTATTTCCTATTTAGGGTTAGGCCTAGAATTGCTATGTATATTAGATGTACAATTTGTATTTTTTTACAATTGAATATACAGATTGTTTATTCAGAAATTTTACATGGTATCAGAGTCGTGTGTGTAGCCTTAGCCATCTCGAAACAATCATTGTGAGTCATCTTCTGGTTCCTTTCTAGTCGATTGCGCTCTCTCTTTCGATCAAAATTTGGTTCGTGAATCCTCTGTCTCGTGGTTTAGGTTCATCTAGTTTAGGTTCGTCTAGTTTGTGGTAGCCTTCTGGTTTGTCTCTCGCGGCTCATCTACGGTCAGTCACTTGGTTCTCAAGACTCACTTAGTGTTCGTGAATCATCTGGAGGTTGACTCCTCTCTCTAGACCTTGTGACTTTATCTTTCTTTGTTGATCTCTCTTTGTCTTTGGTTTCGGTCATTCGAAGTTCTCTTGTTCACCCTGGTTTCGGAATCGCGACATCTGCCGGTCACCAGACTTGTGAGGTTGGGTCATTGCCATACACCCATTTGCTTCTCTGGTTCTCATAGTCGACCAATTTGGTCTATTTTGACGTCGACTCATCTAGTCTGCTTTGACATCTCACCCTCTCTATCTAGGTTTGAGGTTCTCTTATTTGGTCCTTTGACTTGTTCTGAAGTTTCTCTCTTATTTTTATTTTGACCCTGTTCTGGAGCTTCTCCCTTATTACGTTTTGACCATAGTTTGTATCTTTAGTTTCGGTTGGGCCCATTTGACTTCCAAGATTGTGAGTGCGTTCATTGTTTTTGTTTATGAATACACTCATGATGACGGATACCCATTAACTTCAGCCTCTTACAAAGCCTAAGAAAGGGCCACCAGTATCAAATGAGTGTGCATTTTGCCATCAGAGGGGCCATTGAAAGTATCACTGTCCCAAAAAGTGATCTCTGCCTGCTTCGTCTTCTCAACAGTCTCAAACCTAGTTCTGCACTCCTCCGACAAGCACTTTTCGGCTTCCCATCGCTTATACTGCATTAGCTCCAGCTCCTGATTCTGACTTGGCTTCCTTGGGTGCTTAGATTAGTTAGCTTTAGCATATACTGTTTACTTCCCAGCCATCCCCGTCTGCATCCGTTGTTTCTTCTCTTTATTCAGGTTTGCTTGGGTCTTCTTCAGGTATCTTTTCATCTGTCTGGCTTTTTTACTCTGGTGCCTCTCATCACATGGCTTCTTATCTCTTCTTACTTTAGAATTGTACTCTCTTCCCTTTCCCATTATTGTTAATGTTGCTAATGGGTTTGGTATATCTATTATATTTGTTGAGTCTGTTTGCTATGTCTACTATCTCTATTCCCTGTCCTTTATGTTCCTCAATTATCTGTTAGTTTATTATCTATCAGTCAGCTTGATGCGTCTGATTTTGATGTTGTCTTTTCTTTTGCTATCTGCTTTGTGCAGGATCGGATGTCCAAGTTGCAGATTGGGACCAGACGTAGAGTCAGAGACCTCTATGTGGTGAAGAGCTTGCATCTGTCTATGACTACCTCTCCGACAACCTTTTCCTCTTTTCAGTTAGATTCTCTGTCAAGTCCTTTCTATTTGTGGCATTCTAGATTAGGACATTTGCTTGTTGATCGTTTACGTTCTTTAGCTCAGTCAGGTAGATTGGGTAAAGTTTTTCCTAGTTAACTCACCGAGTGTCGGGGGTGTAAACTTGCCAAAATGCCAGCCTTATCTTTTCGTAAAAGTACTTCTATATAAGATACACCGTTT